TCCTGATCTCAGGTGATCTGCCCGCCTCGGCCTCCCAAAGTGCTGGGATTACAGGCATGAGCAATCTTGCCCAGCCCCCTCTCCCACATTTTCAAACCACCCTCCCACCATTCTCTGATATCTACAAGAAAAAAGGAGAGATTTTTTTAGCATGATGTCAGTTTCTCTCAATCATTCACTGAATCCTCATCCTAGCCCTTTGAGGTTGGGTGTCATTCTTCCCATTTTACAAATGGAGAAGCTGAGGCTCTGAGAAGGCAAGCAACTTGTTCAAGATCACTTTATTGGCAGAACTGGGCTTAACACAAAGCTAAAGCTGAAGCAGAGCCCGAACTTGCTCTGCCACACCACAAAAGTAGGAGAAACCCTCCCAAGTATTGGAAACAACTTCAGAAACTTGGAGAGCAAGGCTGAACTTGACTGGGAAAGAAGGGATAGCTTGGAAGAAGAAATGTGTCCTCCTCTGTCAGAGTTCAACCCCAACATGCGCAGGTATGTCATGCCCCTACCAAGGTCAGTCCCCTGCTAAGGAGAAGGAGGATGCTGACCCTCCAGTAGACAAGTGGCTGGGGGTGAGTCATGCATTATCCCCCTCCCATGTGACATACTTAGTACAAGGCATTTGGAAGTACCAGACCAAGAGAATAGACTTCTGGATGCCACCTGCCCACAGGCCTGGGAAAGCCTGGCTTCCTGTGAACTTGGATTGCACACTCATTCAAGAGGCTCCCAAGAAGCTTATCCTGCCCGAGGTTCGCACGCCAAGATGCTAGGCTGGACTCTGACCTCTCTTTGCCTTGCCTGGGGCCACTCAGACCATTAGACTACAGGCATTAATGCACCCGCCTGCTGCCTCTTTACTGTAGAAAAAGAGGAGAGCTGAGGCGGGTGAATTCCACAGGGCTTGAGAAGCTTCAAGGCGGTGCACATAGTCCTGGAGCCAGGTAACCCTAGGTTAAAGCCCAGTGCCTCCTCTAATTAGTCAGACAACTCTGGACAGGTGAGGTTACCTCGATAAGCCTTAGTGTTCACATTTGTAAAAAAGTGTCAATCATGCTTTTCCATAATTTGGAATCAGAAAATTCGCATGACCATCTATCCTCAAAACAGCTGACACATAATGAGGGATCTTTATGTTAAAACTTTTAATTTTTATTATAATATTAAACATCTTTAAAATTTGCATAGAACAAGACCTTTAGAATAACTGCAAATGGTGGAGCAACAAAAGCCACTGATGGTTGAAATATTCTCTGTGACTAAAGGATGGTTATTTACTCTGGAAATAAGAGTATGGTGATGTCAGGAGAAGAAAGAGGATGGAGTTCATCTTAAGTACCGGGCTTGTGCTGTAGTGTGTGTGTGTGTGTGTGTGTGTGTAGTATGCATGTGTGTGTGTGTTTCTGTGTATGTGTATGTGTGAGAGAGACAGAGAGAAAGGTGGGGGGGGACACACTTTCAATAGACTAAAATCTAATCCCTGCCCTCAGGGAATTTACACATAAGTGGAATATTTTTAAAAGTGTCAAAATTGACATCTGCGAGCTACAAAGTGCTATAGGAATAGAGAGGCAGGAGAGTTCGCTTCCAGCGCAGGTGGGGTTCTATGTGACACTTCCTGGAGGAATGCTATTTGAGGTAACTGAAGCAAGGGTGAGATTTCGACAGGTAGTAATGGGGATCGGGTGAAAAAGAGAATTGTTGAGAAAAGCCACGAACCACAGAAAGCAGGGTGTGCTCTGTGAATTTGAGGTAATATGAAAAAAATACCAAATACCAAAATATTCTTATCCTTGAATGGTGGGATGATAGTTGATTGATTTTAGTGTGTGTGTCTTTCTGAATTTTCTATTCTTTAAAATGAGCTTGGGTCATTTGTATACTCAAGAAAAACAAATCACATTTTAAAAACCAGCATGGGTAACAAAATCAGCAAAAAACACAGTTCTTTTGTGGCTGAAGGTAAGAAAGCAAGGATGTTTAAAATTCTAGAGAAGACCGGCAGTAGGGAAGGGTGCTTGTGTCTAACTGGGCTCTCCACCTCAGCACTGTTGACATTTTGGACTGGATCATTCTATGCTGTGGGAGCTGCCCTGTGTATTGTAGCATTCTAGTCTCTGCTAGATGCCAGTGGAATTTTTTCCCCTTCTCTACTTGCCCACCCCAATTGTGACAACCAAATATGTCCTCTAAGGGATGAAATTGCCCTGGGGTGGATAGAACTACCACTCTAACTGCCACTCTAAAGCCAGGGATCTTTGATGTGAAGGAAAAGTCACCCCTCCATACTTCCCCGCATGCACAGAGTGTAGTCCGTTACTGTGCCTTGGCTCTCTTAAAATGTTGCCCTCTCTCATCCAATCCTACGCAAATCCAGGAGGCAGAAAGTCTAAATGCTGGGTCCCAAGTCTTAACACACTAGTTTAGCTACATGATCTTGGGTGAGTTGAATGGCCACTCTGGGCCTGCTTACTTATCCATAAAATGACAGGGAGATGAGAAGAGCTCAAAGATTCTGTGAATTGGGTGTCAATGCCAACCCCTTATTTTGTACAGGAAGAAAATGACATTTGGAAATGCATAGTTTTGCCGAAGGTCACACACCTCAATGGCAGCGCGGTGACTAAAACCCAGCACCATGACTAAACGCCATGACGTTTGATTTCTACGTGTGCCCCTCCACCCTGCACTCTTTGTCACATGTCTCTTTAGAAGCATGTCTACCTTGTGTCAAAAAGGAAGAAAAGAGTGACTGGGCCAGGCCACTTATATGCGCCATTAGTGAGCAAGGCGATAGAGAAATCTCCTCTATTAACAGCAACAATGACATGACTCTCCAAATGAGCCAAAGCAGCTGGAAGAAACACAGGGCGAATTGGCTCTTTCAAGACAGTGGAGAATCTGAGGCTGATGAGTTTCGTGCTATTCAATGGCAGGCTGCTGTGACAAGGGCTGCAAATGCCACTCTTGGGACATGTTAATGAAGGCTCGGCATGCACAACACGAGACAATTATTCTGTTCTCCCTGGCACCGGGTCCTCCTGGCAGGAGAGCTGCCGAGGTGGTTGGAAGGAGTTCAGTGCATAGTTCAGGAAGAAAGCCAGATGGAGAAGGAACAGGACTTGCCGTCTGGCTCAGGCAATGCCAAACAAACAGACCAAGCGCTCGTCTGCTCGCCTTGCCTTGCCCTGATCGTCGGGAACATATGCAGGAAAAGTATGGTGGGCGGAAGAGGTGGAGACTTCCGGTGGCGGATGCCAGAGGGATCTGGCTGCTTCCGGTCTGCGTGTAGGCCGCCATCTCTGAAGCTGCCTAGGCTTGGGGCTGCCTGCCCTAGTGGCCTGGAGATGTTGTCAACATATGATGCGAGGAGCCATTCCAAGACAAAACATGGCCAGGCAAGTGAACCAGAAAAAGGGGCAGTGAATGCAGATCAGTTGTGGATGATTTTTCTGGCACCCATTTCGTGAGCAGACCCGGCCTCTTTCTCTCAGGTTCATGCAGGGGAAAGGCTCTTCTTGGAGGTGCTGAAAAGAGGACTTTGACTCCTTCCTTTTCAGCTTGGGACCAGCCCTATTAGTGGAGTTTTCTAGGCAAATCTGTTCCCCGCCCCACGCCCCCAATCAGGCAATCAGGTGAAGTCAGGTTAAAAATAATATTGAAGGCTGCCGTGAGTGCCAGTTGAGTCACAGGGACCGAGGGTGTGTGGGTTGCAAGTAAGTGGGTCCCACACATTTCCCAGGGAGATGGTGGGGCAGAAACAGGTTGTGCAGTCTGGGGTAAAGTGAACGTAAGATCTTAGCAGCAGCCTGCCCCCACCCCCACCTGTTGGCATTTCCAGGCCAGGAGGGACTGTTCTGTCTCACTGTTTCTCAAAGGCCACCTGCTGCTGCCTCAGTGAGTCAGAAGGGCCTGTCTGGCTTGTCGTGGGTCGCTTGGTACCTGGCCACATGCTTCCCTTTTCTATTTCTGTGCCTCAGAAGATGGCAGTACCACCCAGCACCCCCGCCCAGGAAATCGCTGCCACTGGCTCTAGTGAAGCATCATCTCAGGCTAGTTACCTGGTAAGAAGAGCAGTGCTGAGAATTCAGACAGGTAGAAATGAGGTCTGCAGCAAGGGGAAAGAAAGAGCCTTTTGAAGGCTGCTGCTCAATGGAGGAATTAGGGAGTGTTGGAAGCAGAGTTATCCTCAGGGCGAGTTAATGGTAGTCCTGGCAATAGGATCATTGTCCCTATGAGGACTCTCCTGTGGGCCTGGGCAGCTCAGACCTGGGGCTGGGTAGCTCACTGGTTAGGCCTCAGCTAATGTAGGCAGTGTAAGGACAGCTGCCAGGGCTTGAGACAGCTTTCCAAGGGATGCTGTTTTCAGTGAAGTAATTCCAAATTCTTAGTGCATCCTGCAGTACCCTCTGCTCTTTGGGGCTTTCTCACCTGGTACTCTTCCCGCCCCCTGCCCCCCGTCTCATACACACACAATGTCCCCTTCTTCCCACTTAGTGGACAGTGCAACACAGTGTAAGGGATTTAAACTTTACGTGTGTCAGAACCTTCTGGAAAGATTGCCAATGGCAGCCTCCTGGTGCATTCCCTGAGGTTCTGATTCTGTCAGCCCAGGCAGGATGCTGTGTTTTTATCAGACATTTTGGGGAGATCCTCAGCATGTGGTTCCTGGCCTTGACTCTGAGAATGCTGGTTTCATGGCTAAGAGCTTAGGCTCTGAAGTCTGACCAGGATTCAGATCTCAGTTCTGCCACTTACCAGCTGTAGAACCTCTAAGCTTCAGTTTCCTCATCTGTAAAATGGGAATGGTGACATTACTTTCCTTACGCTGTGAGGATTTATGTAAAGACCCAACAGACTGCCTGAGAGGCAGTGAGCACTTAATAATGTTACTATTGCTAGCAGAATTCCTGCTGTTCCCTGCTCCCGACGCACACATAGATGCTCCATGTGTGATGACATGTTTGTGGCTGACTCAAAACTGTCCTATTCTTTAGGGGAAATGATGCAGGGGCTTTAGTGGTGATCTGCTTTCCATTTGGAGAGCTGAGCCTCCTAACCACCCAGAGGGAGCTTTTTCACCCCAAGGATGAATTAAAATCCTGTGTCTGGCCATTTCATCATGTAGTAAGAAATGGAAGACCCTCTTCTTGCACCCTTCACCCAGCAGGAACTGAGTGTTGAAAAGTCTCTGACAACTTGATGTCTATTTTGACTTTCACAAGAAAACAGGAGTCTGCTTATGCCTAGTACCACCCCTGCACTCAGAGCCTGAAGGAACAGCAGTGGGCCGGGCAGAGCGTGGACTAATACCAGAACCTTGTGAGGAAGAAGAAGCTCTTGGCATGGGGCCGTTGGCAGCCAAGCCCTCCCCAAGCCCTGGCATCTTGGGCCTGGGCTGCTCTGAGACAAATGGAACCAATAGGGCCTAACCTGACGAGATGTTTTTCTTGCTGTGCTCACACCTCCGTCTCCTCAGCTTCCCAGGACCTGGCTAGGAGGTGGAGCTCGGCAGACGACCCAGTGCTCCCAAGGCTGGTGGCTCTAGCAGGAACCATTCACTCAAGGATCAAGGTATCAGGAAAGGCCACAGGACAGGACAGAAGCCAAAGCAACCCAGAAAGGTGGGTTACCTTACAAAGGCCACTCAGAATTACAATCTGGCAGCCAGACCCTGCCAAGCTTTCTCAAAAGCCTCCTTCACATTTCTCCTGAGGCTCTATCCAGTTGAGTCTAAGCTAAGACCTTGGATATAGTTACAGAAGATGATGACCCCATGACTTAAAAGCACCTGTCCCATCTGATGCCTGGAATTCTACCTTTGGATCACTTTGGCCCCCCCAGACTTTGAACCCCATTTAACTCCACACCTTCTTGGATGAGGTAACACTAAACTTAACACAGTGCATGTGTTGACACTATGCCAGCATATGAGAAGCACTTAATATTTGTAGCTAATAACAGAAGCAATAATTAGTAGTTCTCATAATCATCATGAACACTTTTGAATTACTGAACTTCCACTTTTTTGCAAAGAACTTTTTTTGAAAAAAGACAAAAGAAGAGAGCAGTGAGCTTCTGCAGGAGAGAAGGAAAGAACTCACTAAAACCAGCTACAGAGCCTCATCAATTATGTGGCCTTGGTCGAGTCAGCCAAACTGTTTGTACCTAAGTATCCCTTTTGGTGCAGTGCTGATGGTGATCCTCTTGTTCTTCTCTAACCCCTAAGACTTTAAGATCAAACGAGGGAATAGCTTTCTGTGGGTTTTGGAATCATATTTGCCCTATACATAACTGCAAAGGAGTGTGACTTATAACAACTTCTGTTAGTATCAACACACCAATTCTGCCATTGGTGCCATAGATATGAACCCAGAGGAAATGCTGTGTGTGAAGACCAGCTGACCAGCAGCTACAGGTGGCAGTGGGCAAGGAGGCCCTGCCAAGATTCTGCACCCTGGTTATAAGTCCTGACTCCTCACCAATGGCTGAGGTCACATTCCACCTGCCGAGTTGAAAGGGAAACCACCGACAGAGGCATGGACAGTTTGGTGGGTGGTTCAGAGCACAGGCTCTGGGGGCAAAAGGTTTTGGGGGCCAGATCTTGCTTCCACTACTTACCATTGGTGTGGCTTTTAGCAAGTTCTTTTTTATCTCTAGCCTCAGTTTCTTCTTCTGTAGAATGGGCTAACTGGGCTGTGACGGGAATCAACTGAGTACATGGAATGTACTTAGCTCAGAGCTGACTTTGTGAAGAGGCAAAATTATAATCCTTGTTGCTACCTGATTTGCCTCCCTTCTCTTGGTCTCCAGTTCAAGATTCATTCAGCATTTTTTTTTAAGATGGAGTCTCGCTCTGTTGCCCAGACTGGAGTGCGGTGGCACCATCTTCGCTCATGTAATCTCTGCCTCCCAGGTTCAAGCAATTCTCCTACCTCAGCTTCCTGAGTAGCTAGGACTACAGGTGTGCACTACCATGCCTGGATAATTTTTGTATTTTTTGTGGAGATGGCATTTCACCACATTGGCCAGGCTGGTCTCGAACTCCTGACCTCAGGGGATCCGCCCGCTTCGGCTTCCAAAGTGCTGGAATTACAGGCGTGATTCACCATGCCTGGCCCATTCAGCATATTTTAATTGACTTCTCTATGGGAGAAAGAGGAGTGACTGGGTTTTTCGCCATTTTGTGGAGCACACTGGTAAGCCCCCAAGGGAGGAAGGAGCTCAGGGATGCTCCTTGGGCTGACAGTTGTCATGAAGGAAGTGATGAGGGTGTTTCTCCTTGAAGAAGAATTGTACTTGGTGTTTTTCTTTCTTGTTCCCTCTGTGTCTCAGGGAAATGGTGTGAAGCAGTTCCCCGGGAGAATCCAGGGCTGTGTCATCACTACCAGTCCACAGGGCCCAGCACTTCCCGACCCTGGGCTGACTCATGTCCACAGGACAGCTATCTCGCTGTCCCCTGGAGCTAGCTGCCCTTTCAGAAAAAAGCCCCTCCTGGTGTGGGGAGAAGCATAAGTGGTGTGAAGGGGAAATAGAAACTCACTTGACTTTTACCTAGAAACTCCCTGTTTAGTGTGTGATTCATTATTAAATGCCTCTTTCCTCCCTAGGCTGCAGGCTCCTCGAGGTTCATCTTGTTCACTTCTGTACCCTTAGTGCCCAGGACAGTTGGTGCTCCATAAATAGATCCAGAAAACAAAAATAGATGGATGGATCAATGGTCAGGTGGCTGGATGAAGGATTATGATGGCACCCTTGTGCTTGACTTGCCCTCAGGCCAGTTGAGAGGTCAAGATACACCCAACACAGTTTGCAGAAACAAAGTGCAAAAAACAATCTTTACTTGGGCATCAAATTGAAGGTGTAATCTGGGGAGTCCACATCATTTGGGAAGCCAGTAAGAAAAAAGCCTCACAGGCCTTCAGCTATAGGAAATGTAATTAACTCTGGGCCCCACCTGCTGTGTTCTGAAATCCACTGATGCTGAGGCCACATTTCCCTTAGGCAGCTCGCAGCCAGTGACTGAGCACAGCAGGTTTACTAGGGCAGGGTTACTACTCCTTCCTGGGAAACAACCAACTCCTCTGACACCTGGCCTTCCCTGCGGACTCCTCAGCAGCTTTGCCAAAACTTCTTTAAACCGAATGAAGGTTTAGGATGCTTTCACCCAACCTTTTCTTCCTCTGTTCCTCACTTGGAGTCAGAACTGTGGGAGCCACTGTTCACTGTCCCCTGGTTTCCTGGTCATTCAGAGTATTCCCAGCACTTGCCAGGAACACAAAGACAAGTAGGACTGTGACTCCCACCTTCCAGGGATTTTGTATGTGCCCGACTCATAGCCCTGGATCCACTGCTCTCAGCCACAGCTGCTGGGACAGTGATAGGTGAGCCTGACAGCACCCCATCTTGCCTGCCTAGTTCCTGCCCCAGCTCTGTCTCCATTGTGCAGGGCCTGCTAAGTCTACCGGAAAGTATAGGCCAGAAGTTCATTCCCCAGGACAACTGGCCAACAAGCGGGACCTAAGAACCTTCCTCCAGGCAGATGACTCTGGCCACCTTCTGACTTCTCAAGGGCATCCGGGAGACCTGAACCCCTACTTCCCACAAGACCCACCTTGATAACACACTCCTCCTAGGCTTTTCCTCATTTCCTGCCTCACTTTCCCCACTCCCAGCTCCCAGGATCACCTTCCACATAGACTCTGCGCCTGAAGCCTTATGCAGTCTTGGTTTTGGGGGCATCTGATCTCAGATAGTTTTCTCATCTATTTTCATAGTGATGAGTTCTGCAATCAAGATAGGAGTAGGGTGCCCACAGGAGGAAGCACAAGCCACTTGGGGACAGGAAAAGCCCACAGAGATGGTGACATTTGGTCTGAGTCTTGAGAGATGAGAAGTCAGTAGACCAGAGACAGGAGGCACTCACTCCAAGCAGAGGGGCTAGCCCACGCAAAGACCCAGAGGTGAGTGAGAACATGTGGAAACTTCCAATAATTCAGTTCTCTGGAGTCTGGGATGGCAGTGAGGGCAGGGCAAGCAGATGGGCCTGGGCCAGGAAGGGTTCACCTATGGAGTGGTGGTGAGGGTCTGAGGTAGTAATGGACAAGAAATGCCCTTGTAAGCCCCTGAAACCAGGTCTGTCCAGTCCATCTGGGCTCCCAGAGCTGGCAGGAGAAGACATTCTGTTGACATGGGTAAAGGAAGGGGAGGAGGAGGAGAAGCCAGTGAACTGAGACCAGGCAGCTGTGCTGTTGGCCACACGCAATTCCTGCAGCAAAGACACAGGACAGGCTTGCGCACTCACCTGGCAGTGATGAAGGGAGTAGGGAAGGGCATGACTAGAATCCTGGGGTACCTTCATTCTGCAAAGCCCTTCTGGGAAATCACCCCCAGGGTCCCTTCCCCAGGAAGCCCCTCTTCGTCCACTCCCACCTCCCTCCCGCCACCTGCCAATTCACCACCGCCACCACGAAGGCTCTTTGAAAAGTGCCCCTTCCCTTAAAAGACACAGTCTCTGGGCTCTTTTTCTTCAAAGGACACCTGACCAGATGCTTAGCTCCATTCATGATGTTTATGTTTCTTAAGACAGCAAAGAAGCCAGGTGGGTTTTTAAATTGCCTTTTTGTATTCATATAATGCTACAGCTTTATGGGGGTAGAGTGTGTCCCCTGGGAGTGACCCATTTGTGGAGGAGATAAGGGATCCACCAAGGAGGAGAGGAAGGACTGAAGGGGCAGACCTGGATGAGGGAGGGTGACTGCAGGTCTCTCCTTCCCTCCCTTGCCACCTCAGAGCACTGTAGCTCTGCCTCCACGCTCAGTGAGAGCTGGTGGCCCCCTCCAGTCTACATCGCACAGGGGAAAGCTTCCCACTTCCCCAGCTCTGAAGCTTGGCAGACAGGACACCCTCACCTTGGAGCAAAAGCATGAAATACCACCCGCCCAGTCTTGCTCTAACAATCTTCATTTAGTACTTACTGTGGGCTAAGCACTTTTCATGAGTTAACTCATTTCATCCTCATAATTGTATTAGATATCATTATCATCTTCAGTTGCAGATGAGGAAAACAAGGCTCAGAGAGGTGATGTGGGTAGCCCAAGATCACACAGCAGGTGGTAGAAACGAGCCCTTAGGCCCTACAAGCTCAGGACAGTACGTTGGATGTTCTCGTAATTGGAGACTCTGTGGGCCTATGTGGAGGGAGGAAAAGACACACGTGCTGGTGGAGTGTATGTGAAGTAAGAAGAAAGCCAGTTGTAATAAAAATAATTCTGATCATAACAGCTGTGGCGCTGACTGGGCACTTAGCGTGCCCTGGGCCTGGTGCTCTCTACCTGTGGTTTCACTGTCGCCCACACCGCGATGAGGCAGGTACTTCTGGTGCCATCACTGGAAGAGAATGCTCATTCATCCGTTGGTTTCCTCATGCACCCGTTCACTCGTCCCTCCTTGAGTTCACACTGGGGATTGTCTCCAAACAGTGGTCCAGATGCCCAGCGAGAGCAGCCTAACCCTGACCTGAGGCCTCCCTGCTCCATGCTTGGGGTCTATGGCTTCATTTACACCCATGCCGAGTACCTTCCTCCTTCATCCATGCCCTCGCGAGACCAGCTGCCCTACCGGCTCCACAGGCCTCCAGCCTGTGCGTTGCTCAACAAGCACGGCTGCCAGCAACTCCCCCACCTGCCCAGTCGGCTCACCGTGGGGTGGACAGACACCACAGCCTTCACCCAGCCCGGCCTCCACATCTAGCACATGCTCCTCACACCATGTTCTGTTCAGGCTTTGTCAGGGGTCCTGGCCCATGGCCTAGAGAGACCCCACGGCCCCAGCAATGCCACAGTCCCCACCCCTACCCTCCTTCCCAGGGCTCGGCGTCCTAGTGTCCATCCAGGAAGTTTGTCCTTCCTCCCCAGGCAACTTGGCCTTGGCCAGGGAGCATCCCCAAGTGTGATTTCCGTCCGGCTTTGTCCCATGACCACTATGCCATGGAAACGCCAACCTCCTGCCTCCGGCGCCACCTCAAGGCCACTTCCTGTGTGACCTTCTTGCTCCTGGGATCAGAGTCATTCCCACACTGGCTGGCGCTGGGGCCAGCCCCTTCTCTCCCTTCCTCCCCCTCTCCTCTGTCCCTCCCACTCTCTGGAAGGGAAGGAGGTCTGTCACCAGGCCCCACAATTGTTGATTAATAGCCCAGCTTTCACTGATAATTCCACCGCTGGAGGCTGCAGCCCAAAGCTTTGAGTAAACATAGTGATTTTCCTTAAATAAACATCCTCCCCACAAAGTAAAGTTGGTGACCCACCAAGGCCAGCTGACCCAGCAACTGTTTGCACCTTAGTGTCCTGGTTCTCTCCCGCACCACCCCCCATGGCGAGGGTGTGGGAACAGTTGGGGAATCAGAATCCCCACGGGGCCCAGGGCCCTCACCCTACTTTGGTGAAGCCTTTCTAGACCCTCTTCAGCCTGCGGAAGCTCCTCTCTGCTCCTCCCCTATTGCCTCCTGGACCATCGTTCAGTCTCAGAGCTCCTGGTCCCTGCCACTGCTGACCCCTTCAATGGTGCCTGCCACCCACTCCCAACGAGGAGCAAGGTGACCAGGCCAGCATGTTGCTCTTCCATTGTAACCTGCCACTCCTGGCTGTTGCTCTTGGACTCAGGAGGTCAAACATTCCTGCTTTTGAGCTCCCACCTCTTTCCCCAGCTTATCTCCATTCTGTGTTTGGACCCCTCTCCTGCCTCTACTCTCATGGCCTCAGTTTTGACCACCTCTGCCCAGTTCCATGCCCTACTTCAGTTGCAGGGGCAGGTGGGTAGAGGCCCTGGGGATGGCATACGCTGCAGGATTGAATGCCTCAGGGGCAGGAACTTGTGGACAGAGCCCACTGCACCAGGTAGTAAAAAACCCCATCTTCCAGGCTCACGAAACTGAAGTCCTTGTGTCTGAGCTCTTAAGAGGGATCCTCGAATGGGGCCCTGGCCCTGTGGCCTCTGATCTCAGACTTGGTCCATTGCAGCAGATGCTGTGGTCATGTATAAGGCTGGATCTTTTTGGAATATTAATTTTTACTTTTTTCCCTCTATGTGGTAGCTCCTTTTTCTTTCTCTCATTGAAGCAGGAGTCGTTTGAAAGTTATGTGGGGTCTTTGTTTACTCACAGATCAAGGACTATTTAGGGAGTTTGCAGAAGAGCTGAAGAGAGATTTGTGGAATGAGCAAAATGGCCTGTGGGAGCAGTGGTAAGTGAGTTCTCTGGCTTCTGGTCTGAGACCAGAAAGCGATTCCTCTGGCAGGAGATGGGGAGGCTGCCCGCCCAGCAGCCGGATCCCAGCCCTGCTTCCTTGCAGGGTGTGTGGAGACAGCAAGACCCGGGGGAGGAGTGGTTCCCGAGTGCAGCAGGCATTTGGAATGATTAGCACTGGGTTTCTGGTCTTGGCAAAGTCACTGTCACAGAGGCAGAGAAGAGTCAAAGATAGGCACAACAGCATGTCCATGCCAGGCCATGGAGAATGGTCACTGACTCCATGCTTTGGTGCAATGGATTACAATCCTAGAATACCAGGAATGATGGAGTGACATTTTCTGCAGCTTGGAGGAATAGGGCTCAGAGTCAGAAATGAATTTTACTTACAAAAGATGACTTCTGTGTTTGTGCACCAAGATTTATGTCCCAGATAACCAGAGGACTTGCAGCTATCAGAGCACACCACGCAATTTCCCGTCTTCTGCATCAGACTTTGCATGTGCTGTTCCCTTTGCCTAGAAAGTCCTCCCCACAGTCTGTTTGCTGACTTCCATTGGCTCTTTAAAACCAGGCTCAGGTAGTGCTTTTGCCCTAGAAAACTTCCCTAGAGAGGCAGACGTCCACACCTGCTTCCCTCTCTGTGTGCTTCTTACCTCTGTACTGGTTTTTTGGTGGGTTTTTTTTGAGACAGAGTTTTACTCTTGTTGCCCAGGCTGGAGTGCAATGGTGTGATCTCAGCTCACCGCAATCTCTGCCTCCTGGATCCAAGCAATTCTCCTGCCTGAGACTTCCAAGTAACTGGGATTACACGCATGTGCCACCAAACCCGGCTAATTTTGTATTTTTAGTAGAGACAGGGTTTCTCCACGTAGGTCGGGCTGGTCTTGAACTGCCGACCTCAGGTGATCTGCCTGCCTCAGCCTCCCAAAGTGCTGGGATTACAGGTGTGAGCCATCTTGTCCGGCTACCTCTATACTGTCATATATATATATATATATGAAATATATACATATTATATATAAATATATATTCAATTAGATTATATATTATATATATTTTAATATATATATGCTTCCCTTACCTCTATACTGTTTTATATATATTTTTTCTTTCTATTGAGATATAATTCACATACCATAGCATTCATCCTTGTGAAGTATATATAGTTCATGTTTTTAGCATATTCACAAAATTGTGCAACCATCATGATATAGTTAGACATTGTGTCCCCACCCAAATCTCATCTTGAATTGTATTCCCCATAATCCCCACATATTGAAGGAGGCACCTGGTGGGAGGTGATTGGGTCATGGAGGTGGTTTCCTCCAGACTGTGCTCATGATAGTGAGTTCTCATGCGATCTGATGGGTTTAAAAGGGGCTCTTCCCTCTTCGCTCTTCCCTTCTCTTTCTTGCCGCTATGTGAAGAAGGTCCTTGTTTCCCCTTCGCCTTATGCCATGATTGTAATTTTCCTGAGGCCTCCCTAGCCATGTGGAACTGTGAGTCAACTACACCTCTTTCCTTTGTAAATTACCCAGTCTTGGGTATGTCTTTATAGCAGTGTGAAAATAGACTAATACACATCACTACTATCTAATTCCAGAACATTTTTATCATCCTCAAAATAAACCTACACCCATTAGCAGACACTCCCCTTTCTCCACTGCCCCTAGCCCTTGGCAACCACTAATTTACTTTCCCTCTCTATGGATTTGCCTATTTGGGACATTTCATATAAATGAAATCACACAATAGGTAGCCTTTTGGGTCTGGCTTCTTTCACTTGGCATAATGTTTTCAAAATTCATTTGTACTGTAATATGTACCAATGCTTCATCCTATTTTTAAATTTTAGGTAACAATATATTTTATTAGTTGACCAAGCTATTTCTAAAAGTAAGTTAGTTATTATACCATAGAAAAATAACCTCTTATCAAAAAGAATTACTCTAGATTTATTTGGCAAGTCTTATTTTTGTTAAATATTAATTTAAATGAATTTTACATCCATTCTACACTTTTCTTTTTTTTTGAAACAGGGTCTCACTCTGTCACCCAGGCTGGAGTGCAGTGGTTCGATCTCAGCTCACTGTAGCCTCGATCTCATGAGCTCAAGCAATCCTCCCACCTCAACCTGCTGAGTAGCTGGGACTACAAGCTACCTTGCCCAGCTAGTTTTTGTATTTTTCATAGAGATGGAGGTCTCGCCATGTTGCCTAGGCTGGTCTCGAACTCCTGGCCTCAAGTGATCTGCCTGACTTGGCCTCCCAAAGTACTGGGATTACAGGCATGAATCACCACACCTGGCCCATTTCACACTTTTAAATCTTTTTCTACTCAGGTAATCATTCAATCAGTTTTCATACAGTTTTTCCTCAGTATGTAAAGACTGGTAAAATTGTAAATAAGTATTACAATCTGAATTCACAGAAAATATTTATAATCTCAAAAGGGCAGAATCTGTTTCAAACAGAGCTCTTGTTTTTGTAAATATTAGTTCACCACCACATTTTTCCATGTGTTTCTGTATCCACCTTTTCTTGGAACTTATGGGCAGGAAATGATAGAAGAAGGCAGGAAAAGGAAATGTCAAAGTTTTTTTGGAGAGACTGCGTTTCTGGGACTGATAAGATGGATGACTTCCACTGTAACTTTCTGGTTTTCAAAGGAATAGGAGAAATAACAAACTCACAGTATAGTTGTCAATCTCAATTAATACCATTAGAAGGAAGGCCTTTGAATAGGAGAAACTTTTAAATGAAAAGTTCAAGTTAAAAGGCGTCTTTATAGATAAGCCTCTGATATTCCTGGTGCTCTCACTTATTTACCTATGTGGGTGTTTTTTAAAAACTGGAAGTATAATAAAAAGAATCCAGAATCCACATAAGAAGTGGATATGTGTGTTAACACAGAAATTGAATAAATAGGTATTTATAATATTAATCCCTGTATTTCTTCTGTCACAAAAAAGAAACACATTTTTAATGTAAAGTTTTGGGTTTTGTTTCTTTTTAGAACTTTGACTTATTCGTAACTTTCTTATTTTTCTTAACTTTCATTTTTAAAAAACGAACTGCTTTGCATTTCCCCTTGTGGAAAAAAGAAAAACTACTCAAACTGGTATTCCTTTTATGAGGTGAATGTACTCCATTCATTTTTGTGGCTGAAAAATATTCTGTTGCACGAATATAACATGTTTTATTTTTCCGTTCGTCCATTAATGGACATTTGATTGTTTCCATTTGGGGGCTATTCTGAATACTGCTGCTAAGAACATTCGTGTACAGATTTACACATGTTTTAATGCTTTTGGAACTATACCGAGGGATGGTATTGCTGGATCACATGAAAACTCTGTGTTTAACGTTTTGAGGAACTGTTGAGAGTGGCTGTACCACTTCACATGCCCCACAGCAGGGTATGAGGATTCCAATTTCCCCTCACCCTTTCCAACACTTGTTAATATCTGTCTTTTTGATTGGAGTCATCTTAGCGGTGTGAAGCAATATCTCATTGTGGCTGGATTTGCATTTCTGTAACGAAAAATAATGTTGATCACTTTTTAATGTGCCTATTGGCCACTTGTGTATCTTCTTTGGCGCAATTTCTATTCAAATCCTTTGTCCATTTTTAATTTTTTTAATTGTTGAGTTGTGTGTGTTCACATTTCCACTAGTGCATTTCCCACACTGTTCTGTATCGTATGTTTTACATGTCTGAGTTTCCTATTAGACTGTGGCCAGATGTGGGCAGGGCATGGGTTTGAGGCAAGAGAATCGCTTGAACCTGGGAGGCGGAGGTTGCAGTGAACCAAGATCATGCCTGGGCGACAGAGCAAGTCTTCACCTCAAAAAATAAAAAAAATGACTCTAAGGAATGACTTTTTTTCTACCTCTCAGACACCCAGTTTCTTTCTTTGCAGAATGAGGGGTTTTCATTAAAAGATATTTAATGGTCTTTCCATTCTTTTTTATTGTAGTAAAATACATATAACATCTATCATTTTAATCATTTTTAAATGCACACTTCAGTGGCGTTAAGAACATTCACATTCTTGTGCAACCATCGACACCACTTTCCATTTCCAGAACCTTTTCATCGTCCCAAATTGAAACTCCATACTCAGTAAACAATAGCTCCCTGTCCCCTCCTCCCCACAGCCCCTGGTTACCGCTATTCTTTCTCTCTCTGTGAATTTTACTATTCTAGATATATCATGTAACTGGAATCATACAGTATTTGTCCCTTTGTGTCTGGCTTATTTCACTTAGCATGTTTTCAAGGTCCATCCATGTTGTAGCATGTATCAGAATTCTTTTGAAAGACAATAACATCCCAGTGTTTGTGGTATCATATTCTGTTTATCCATTCATTTGTCTGTGAATATTTGGGTTGTTTCCACTTTTACTATTGTGAATAATACTGTTATGAACATGAGTATATAAATATCTCTTCGAGGCTGGGTGCAGTGGCTCACACCTATAATCCAGCACTTTGGGAGGCCGAGATGAGCAGATCAGTTGAGGCCAGGAGTTCGAGACCGGCTTGGCCAATATGGTGAAACCCTGTCTCTATCAAAGATACAAAAATTAGCCAAGCCTCGTCGTGGTGCACCTATAGTCCCAGCTACTTGGGAGACTGAGGCAGAAGAATCGCTTGAACCTGGAAAGTGGAGGTTGCAGTAAGCCAAGATTGCACTACTGCACTCTAGCCTGGGTAAAAGAGCAAGACTCCGTCTCTAAATAAATAAATCTGTTCTAGCCCCTATTTTAATTCTTTTGTGTGTGTACGTGAAAGTGGAGTTGCTGGACCATACAATTATTCTATGTTTAATTGTTTGAGAAACTGCCTACCGTTTTCCACGGAGGTTGCCTCATTTTACATTCCCACCGGCAAAGTACAAGGGCACCAGTTCCTCCCCATCCATACCAATATTTGTCACCTGTTTTTCTGATGATAGCTACCCTAATGAGTATAAAGTGGTATCTCATTGTGGTTTTGATTTGTATTTCTCTAATGATTAGCGATGTTGAACATATTTTAATGTGCTATTGGCCGTTTGTACATCTTTTTTTGGAAAAAATGTCTATTCAGGTCTTTTGCTCATTTCTTGAGTTGGGTTTGTTGCAATTTTTGAGTTTTAGACTTCTTTATATATCCTGGATTAATCCCTGATCAGATATATGATTTGCAAATACTATATCTCATTTTTGGTTGGCCTTTTCACTCTGTTGATAATGTCTTTTAATGTGCAAAGTTTTAACTTTTGAGGAAGTTCAATTTATGTAAAGGAATTACTTTTAAAATACTTAAAAAAGAAGAAGAGTGCGTTTGCTCACACCCGTAGTCTCAGCAACTCAGGAGGTTGAGGCAGGAGGATCGCTTGAGCCCATGAGTTCAAAGTTACAGTGAGCCATGGTTGTGCTACTGCACTCCAGCCTGGGCAACAGAGGGAGACCCTTTCTCCAAGAAACAGAGAGAGGAAGAAAAGGAAGAGAAGGGTGTCGGGGGAGGGAAGGCAAAGGAAGGGAAGGGAGAGAGAAAAAGAAAATAAAAAGAGAAAAGAAGGTGGAAAAGAAAAAGAAAGATGGGGCAGAGACATGTGGAAGCAAAAGCAGGTTCTGTGGTTCTTGGCTCTTGTTCCCAGGTCAATGTCACCTGGCTCGGGCTGCCCCAGCCCAGGGGGCACAACACTGAGAGCAGATGGTGGAGGGCGGGAGAGAGGCTGGCTGGGTTCTGATTAGCCCCAACCTAGCCAGGCCCACAGGCCGCCTGACTGGGAGTGGGTGTGTGCATGTAGAGGGTGGTAGCCCTGGGGTTTCCCTGAGATCTGTAACCTGGGGACTAGTAGGTGGGCTCAAAGGCAGGAAGTTCTCAGTTAGGAAACCGGTGGGTGCGCCCACCTGCCTGTCTCAGCCTCCTTAACTGCAGATTAAATTCCGGGCCCAGAGCCATGGTTTCTAAAGAGTATCTGTCTCTCTTTCTTTCTCTCTCTCTCTCTCTCTCTGCCCTTTGCTCCCTGTAAATCACTCATCACATTTCTTTTGTTTCATGAGTGTTTTTTTTTTCTGATTCTAAAAATAATATGCTTATAGAAAACTGACCAAAGAATAGAGGGAAAAAACAAACCACAAGCCCACCATCCTGTGTAGTAAGTGACCATTCTTTGGGTGTGAACCTTGGGCCAGGAACTGGGCTTCATACTTCCCCCACACCGCCTCCAGACTTCCCCAGCCCCCCACAGTCATACAGGCCCTACCAAGGAAACTGAACCACTCAGTGAAGGGCTAGTTCATGCACAGCTGGGCTCAACTCAGGTGTGTCTGCTTCTAAAGCCCATTTCCCTTTTAGCCTCTGTTTTGCTACTGTTAATGTTTGGACTTATTTTTTCTATCCTTAAAAATAACTGTTGTGCATTTCAAAACTCGCCTTGCAAATGTAGTCACTTGGTTATTTGAGGAATAGTAAGATATGCTATTTATAACATCATTTAATCATAAAATGGTCACATTGGGTGTTATTAAAAATTGTTTGACAGTATGGAACTTCCTTAGTTCTGGCAGTCTCACTACTGGGTATTTATCCAAGGGAAAGGAACGGACACCAGTGTATCGAAGAGGTATCTGCACTCCCATGTTTATTGCAGCACTACTCACAATAGCAAAGTTATGGGATCAGCGTAAAGGTTCATCAAATAATGAATGGATGAAGACAATGCCACACACACACACACACACACACACACACACACACACAGACAAAATCAAATACTATTCAGCCATAAAAAAAGAATGAAACCTTGTCTTCTGCGGTAACATGAATGGAGCTGGAGATCAGTATGTTAAATGAAATAAGCCTGGAACAGAAAGACAGATACCAGAGGCTGGGAAGGGTGTGTGTGTAAGAGGTGGTGTGGAATGAAGAGGGATTGTTGGTGGATATAAACATACAGTTAGAAAGCAGGAATAAGCGCTAACGTTCAGTAGATGAGTAGGATGACTAACTAACAACAATGTATTGTATATTTCAAAACAGCTAGAAGACTTGAAATGATCCAACACGTAGAAATGACAAATGCTCAAGGTGATGGAGGTCCCAAATACCCTGACTTGATTATTACACATTTTATGCGTGTATGCACGTAACAAAATAGCACAGGTGTCTCATAAATATATACAAATGTTTCACGTCAATAAAAAATGGTCTGAATCAAGATCATCATTTTTTGTGCCGCTTTTTCATCTGCCCCAATCCCTGAATGTTGGGGCCACCTGGGCCTCTTTATGTTTCCCATGACTTGTCTCAACAGGGCAGCTCAGCCAGGTGTGGAGGCTTACATGTTTTCTAGAGGATGCTCATTGGCTAAAGTGTGCAGAGGGTGTGTCCACAGCACCCCAGTCCCTACCACCTTCCGGAAAGAGGTAAAAACTACGGCTTCCCAAGAGGCTGCTAGGCAGATGCCCCACTGGTCTCTAGTAAGATCTGTTCCCATCTCCAGCTGCAGACAAGGAAGCCCCCAGAGCCAACCCAAGCCCTCAGCACTGGCTTCAGTTCTGTGCTGCTATCCCTTGTCACCTCAGGCTTAAAATGGGGTACCTCACCCTAGGACTGGAAATGAAGCCATGTTTTTTTCTTGTACAAATAGCCTATGTTCAATATTTTTCTTTTTTTAAGGTATGGAGAAACAAAAGTCAAATAAAATTGAGGCTGGGTGCAATGGCTTGTACCTGTAATCCCAACACTTTGGGAGGCTGAGGTGGATGGATTGCGTGAGCCCAGGGGTTTAAGACCAGCCTGGGCAACATGGTGAAATCCCATCTCCACAAAAACTAAAAACATTAGCTGGGTGTGGTGGTGTGCCCCTGTAGTCTCAGCTACTTGTGGGGCTGAGGTGGGAGGATTGCTTGAGCCTGGGAGGTCAAGGTTACAGTGTGCCATGATTGCACCACTGCACTCCAACTAGGGGGACAGAGCAAGACCTTGTGTCAAATAAACAAACAAACAAATAAATAAAATTCATCTGCAATCTCATGACCTAGAAAGAACCACTGATACATACCTTTTGTGGTACATATATGTGTGCATGTGGGTGGGTAGATGTATGTGTCTGTTTTTAAATTTACAAAAAATGTAATCATACTACATTTTTTGAGTATGCGAAATAACTTATTCTCTTGTAAAATCAACAAGTAAGGAAAGAAACAGTCTGGAAACAAACTCAAATCAGTATTAGAAAAGTAAACTTTTTTCCCACATTTTAGAAAGTACTGTAAGACTAACTGTGCTAACATGAGTTATCAATTTACAAAAGTACATACCTAAAGCTACACAGATTAAACAGTTATGTGTTCTGTTTTCTTACCTCCTTTTTCTCTTAACAATATGTCACAAGCATCTTACTAGCTGTGTGACCTTGGGCACCTTGAATCCCAGCAATTTGGGAGGCCGAAGCGGGCAGATCATGACGTCAAGAGATTGAGACCATCCTGGCCAACATGATGAAATCCTGTCTCTACTAAAAATACAAAAAATTAGCCAGGCATGGTGGCATGCACCTGTAATCCTAGATACTCAGGAGGCTGAGGCAGGAGAATCACTTGAACCTGGGAGATAGAGGTTGCAGTGAACCAAGATTGTGCCACTGCACTCCAGCCTGGTGACAGAGCAAGTGCCCTCCATACATGTTATAATTACTTTTGTTATTATTCATCATTTTTAATGGTTGCCTAGAATTCCATCATCTCCACCAGTGGATTTGGTTCTCAACCAGGCAATTAGTCCCAGGGCCATGTCTGGAGACATTTTTGGTTGTCACAACTTAAGTGAAGGATGCTATTGGCATTTGGCGATTGGAGGCCAGGGATGCTGGTAAACATCCTAAGGGGCACAGGACAGTCCCCAACTAGTCAATAGTACTGAGGTTGAGAAGCCATAGTCTAATCTATGTCACTCTGCAATCAACAAGGCAGTGGAGGTTTGGGGGAGGAGGAAGAAACGATCCTGGCATGTCTTGGGGAAAGTAGTCCAGTGTTCGGGTGACACGCATGACAAAACCATGTACACACAGGAGTAGTGAGGGGGAGTGTATGAGTGACTGTCCCTGCATCCAGATGCTCTGGACAGTGGGGTAGGAGGGAAAGTTGGGGACTCATGGCTCCCAAGACCTCTTTTACCTCCTGTGACCCTGCCAACAACATGAAGCACAGAGCTCAATCTTATGACCCATGGTAAACCTCACAGTTAATGATCCCCTGCTGCCCGGCAGACAGACTCACTGTCATGCTGTCTAAAGAGGTGTCGGAGGCGGGGGGAGGCTAAGGAAAGGATCTAGGGGGCCTATACATGATGCTTCTGGGTGACCTGCAGCAGGGAAGGGGATGTTGGGGGAGGTCTTCCCTTGTCTTATCTCCAGATCAGAAAGTGAAGGATCCCTTGGGACTAGTCACCAAAAGACACATTTTCAAAAAACTGCTGCTTGCTGTTAGTAGTCATGAGGTGGTCATGATAGTCATGAGAAATGTGAGGAGGCTCTTTGGGTCCCAGAGGCTTGACTGGCAGAGGCAGAGAAGCTCCCAGATGCCAGGCTTTGGGGGTCATTCCACTTAATCTTTCCCCAGGTCTGGCTGCTTCCTGCATCCCTCCTGAAGAACTGCAGCCTCCCCTGCCCACGTTTCTGTGGCACATGGGGGTGGCCGGCTTCTTGGTGTGAGGAACCTGCAGCCTCGGAGCCTCCTCTGTGCTTTGCTTCAGCCTCCTCTGCACCGAGCACTGAGACGAAATGATGAGCAACACACTCGAGGCTCTGCCTTCACGGGGGATGGCAGACCAGAACCATGGCAGCAAATCAGGAAGCAGATGCTTCCAGCCGGAGACAGTGGCGACGGGCCTCAACTGGGATGAACTGGGCGAGGCTGAATTTAGTCACCGCTCCAGGTGACTGCTCTGAGGAAACACCATTCAGAGGTTGCAACCAGAATGATAAGGGCCTGAGCGGGGAAGGAGGATGCCTGGTTTGAGGGAAAGAAAGGCACATTTTAAAGCAGCAAGGCTCGATGACCTTGCCCAATGCTGCCATATTGTAGATGAAGAGGCAAGAGCCAGGAAGAGAACCTGATTGGCCAGACCTCCCTTCTCTTCCCAGACAGTGTTGCTTTCACTCTGCAAGTCTGCAGATGCCCGTCCGGCTTCAACACACCCGCCTGGTAAGGGCAGCGTTGCAGCACAGGGCGCAGTCCCAAGAGCAACCCCACCACCTCTCTCTCATGATGGAAAGTGTGGTGGCTGGGCAGGGTGGCTTATGCCTGTAATTCCTGCTCTTAGGGAGGCAGAGGCAGGAGGATAGCTTGAGCCCAGGAGTTTGAAACCTGCCAAGGCAATATAGTGAGACCTTGTTCTCCACAAAAAGAAAAAAAAAAGGAAGTGTGTGATGTGAATGGATGAAGGCAACCCTCCTTCTGCCGGGGGACCTCAAACTCAGCCTCCCTATCCATCAATGCGGCACCTTGACAATCAGCAGCAGAAAGAGTAATGTAGCTTGAAACTCACCTCACGATGGATCACTCACATGTGAGCACCGAGACCGGCTGAATGGTGCGGGACTGACTCTGAAGGTCACGCCAGTCCAGCCTTCTCCTCCTAAGAAGAGGAAACCCAAGGATGAGCTGGAGGAACAGGTGCGAGGACCTCCATTCTGATTGCCCAATTCATGTGTCAGTTCCTCATTAAGAGACAGACTAACTTGGTCAGGTGCCACGGCTCATGCCTGTAATCCCAGCACTTTGGGAGGCCAAGGCAGGAGGATTGCTTGAGCCCAGAAGTTTGAGACCAGCCTGGACAATAGAGGGAGGCCTCCATCCACAGAAGTTGTTTTAAAAGTTAGCCGAGCATAGTGGTGTGTGCCTGTGGTCCTCAGAAGGCTGAGATAGGAGGACTGCTTGAACCCAGGAGTTTGAGACTGGAGTAAACCAAGCTCATGCCACTGCACTACAGCCTGGGAGACAGGGCAAGAGCTTGTCTCAAAACAAAACAAAACAAACAAACAAAGTTAACTCAAGTCTTATCTTACTTTAGGCAAGTTTTATCCTTAGGAAAACAGAATTCTCATTTAAATCATTGACAGGGGCTATGACTGTGCTGATGGCTTTCACCCAGTGGTTAGAGTTTAAATAAGAAAGTTTTGGTTGGTGCAACATGGCTCCACCTGTAATCCCAGTGCTTTGAGGGCTGAGGCGGGAGGATCGCTTGAGCACAGGAGTTCAGCTCTACTGTGAGCTGTGATGGTACCACTGCACTCCAGTCTGGGCAAGAGTGGGGCTCTCATCTCTAAAAAGAAAGAAAAATGAAATAAACTAAATAAAATAATAAAATTCCTGGAAGGGACAGAATGGAAATGTCATGCAAAATACCACTGGCTCTTAAACGTAGAAAGACGTTCATCCACCTCCTAATAAGAGCAATGAGAATTAAAGCTACACTGGGACTCCTCTGTATTTCACCTGTTTGCGAAAGACCAAAATTTTTGCTAACACTGTTGGTGAGTGGGGTGGAGAAACTGGCCCAACATCTGTGGAGCGCTTGGTGGCAGCATCTAGTGGAAGGATAAAAGGCCTGCACTCTTCCAGCTGGTACTGCGATTTCCAGGAATGCATCCTACAGCTAGACTCACAGCTGTATTGTTTATAATAGCAGATGACAGGAAACAACCCAAATGTCTACTAAGGTGGATCTGGCTAAATAAATTATGGGATGTCCACACACCAGAATACTATGCAGCTGTGGAAACGTGTGAGGAGGGCCTCTGTGTACGAACATGGCAGAGTCTCAGGATATCCTTAAGTGAAAAAATGGTGCTGGGATTTTTTTTTTTTTTTCTATCATCACCCGAGGGCTTTCTAGCTCTTCCTCCAAAGACCTGTCTGGGAGATCATAGCTTTCTCAGTCCCCAGCCCTGGAGGCCTCTCCAGACTGGTTCAGGCTCTGCAACTTGTTGGAACACCAGGTTTGCCTACACAGTGAGGGACCTTTGGGGCACCAGTGACAGGCTGCAGTGAGGTCCACCTGGGTTAGCTCTGTGGACGGCTCCTCGTCCAGGCGCACGGCCCAGCCAGTCACCCCAGACCCGAGCCCTCATTCCGCAGGGTTTTGGTCCTTCCTTAGCCTCCAGTCCTGCAGATAGAACTCTACAGGCCAAGCTCTCACTCCCCGACTATACCCCGCACTTGACTTTTCCAGAATCCTGGCCGTGCTGTCTCAGGGATCCTACCCTGGGGCTCAAGTGTTCCAAAAATGCCTGCCCTGTGGCTCCGCTTCCTGGGGACCCTCCTTTGCTCCCTCCCACTGGTGCCAAAAACAACTTTTTTCTCAAGAGGCAGGGTCACCTGTGCCACGGGTCTGGTGGTAAACTGCTCTGGTTGCAGTCTTGGCCCTGGGGTTTCCCAGTATATGTGAGCTGGCAGAGTTACTTGCCCTCTCTCTTCTAAGAAATGGGGATGCTAATAGCCTCTCTCTTTAAGGTCTGCTTAATAGCACTTGGCACAAAGGCAAGAACCCAATAAATGTGGCTATTATGTTTGGACCATTGGGAAGCAAGCCTGAGTCAATCCATGGCATAGTGAGAGGAAATTTATTTCCTCCGAGTTTCCCCCAACGGACTTTAGGAGGAGAAAGTCATTGGCAACGCTTTCAGCAGCGTGGCAATTGTGTTGGGGGAGTGGCCCAGTCCGCCATGGCGGGCTTCGTGTTTTAAGAGGTGTGGTCCAGGAAGCACTGCCTGCCCTCTCAGGCTGGCAGGAAGGGTGAGACCCTTTCTCTGCTGGGGTCCATCTCTGGCTGAGGATGAAGGATTCAGGAGTGAATAGGGCTGGTGCCTTTGGTAGGGTCCAAAGGGGTTCATGTCACTCACTTAAGTCAGTGAGGCTTTTGCTTCTAACGTGACAACTCCCACACAGGTAAGAAGATCTGGGGGTCACAAAAAGGGCATGGGCGAGAGAGACCCCTCCCCTGTCTTCTCCTGGTGGTAGCTTCCTGGCAGAGCTTATGGACCTCTCCTCCCCCGTGGTCTTCTGCCTGTCCCCCTCCTTCCTCAGGCTCACAGCACAGCCCCAACAAGCCCTAGCTCCAGACCCTTGCTAGAGGCTCAGCACTCAGCCATGTCACTCTGGTGCCAGACAGGATGCTCCCTCTGCTTGCCCCCTCCGTTCTCCTGCCTTTCCTTCCCTCCCTGCCCTCCCGTCCCCTCCTCCTACCTCCTCCCTTCCTTGCTTCCTCTCAGCCTCACACAAGGGCTCAGGGAGTTCCATTCCCCGATTTTGCAATCGGGCCACATGGCTCTATCATCCGAACATTCCCCAGATTTATAGCAATGCCGAGGAACCGTCAGATGCTCCCAGGTGCCACACTTCTTGCCATGAAGACACATCTGCGTGGAAAGCCGCGCTCTCTGGATGCGGAAGACGGCAGTGTTGCCAGCAATTTTCCTTCTAAAAAAAAAGTGGCAAATGTGGCCCAGGGGCTTTGTGCTGCCAAGCAGTTTGCTGCTTCCTTAACTCTGAAAGGTCTAGTGGGGAAGAAGCCCAAAGGGGCACGTTAAACTTCCCCAGGTGGGGATATTAACCAGGATTAACTGGAATTAACTGAGGACAATGTGAGCCCTGGGATGTGGGACTGGAACTCCTGCGGCTCTCAGGGCAGACAATGAGGGAGACCATGCCGGGCCTGACTATGGAGGGCAGCTTTGCCCATCCACTCAGTGAGCTCACACTTGACAACATGTTTTCACATCTCTGTGGGCACTCGCTGCCCAACCCACAGGCCCTCAACCCACACGTGGATTCCACAGGCTGCAGGTTCCTCCCCTGCCCACACCCCCAGCTCTCCTCCATACACCCCAAACAGACTCACGAAGACAGCAATATTCTCCATCACAACCCCCAGAGCTGACATAGACACAGAGAATGACCACACAGCAGTGGCTCCTACAGGCAGTAGGTGTGTCTCCACTCACACCTGCCACTGCTTCCACTCCCCCTGCAAGGCACACTTGCAGCGGATTCATAGATGCAAAGGCAACTCCCAGTCTGCCCTCCCCTCACACATGGACACCCACCCCTCAGGGACTCAGCCCTGACCCACAGAGTCCACAGGCAATTATCACAGCTCGCACGATTCATACCCAAGCAGCTTCACACAGCAGCTTCACATCGGGCACTTCCTCTCATTTGGCCACTCATATGACCGCTTGCAGATAGGCACGCGCACGCGCGTGCACACACACAAGATCTCTACACGCACAGACACACGCCTGCGTATTCATGCCTAGATTCTTCCATCCCTCCTTTTGAGTACTCCCCCTCCAAGCCCGGCAGGGGTGAGGGGGTTCTG